CCCCCCCGGCGGTCCAGTATCTTTGACAGCCTCTGCAGAAGTGGCGAGGCTGGTTCACGTTGTAGTTGTTGAAGTAGCAGAACTTTGTCTCCATGCTCTTGCATCTCGGACATGGTATGATCTTGTCGGGTAATTTCTCGGCCGCCGCCTTCAGATCGGATTTCAGATCGCTGCCCTGTCTCTGTTCATGCGTTCTCGTTGTCGTCTCTGTCATACTCTCAGTTTTTGCTGTCGTTTGTGTATTGACGTTTCCGCGGAATGTTATGGTTTTGCCGAAGAGCTTGATTCCTTGGGAATCTTGGGCTGCCATGAAAACGAGAGAGAGAGAGAGAGAGAGAGAGAGAGAGAGAGAGAGAGATTTTGATGTATGAGTTTTCTTGGAGAGAAGAAAGAGAGAGGACATATTTATAGGAAGACGAAGAGGAAGATGATTTGTATCTTTTTCGCACAAAAGGATAAAAAAGAAAGCAATAGGAGGAAGAATATATCAAAGCATATATACGAGGAAAAATATGAACACAATGACATTTTATTTCTTGAAAGATTTATATTAAATGTGATTAAATAAGCACACAATAATTAAATATATATATATATATATTAAAGATTTAACTGTATTTTTTTAGAAGATCGAATTAAATAGAACGAATTTAAAAAAACCCCCGAAAAACCGAAAATTTATTAAAAAAATCTAAAATTTTCTTACTAAAAACCGAATCAAACCGAAATTGAACCTAGACCAAATACCGAAAGCCCACCCCTTGTTATTATTATTATTATTATTTGAGGACAGGTTAAATGATATTTTAATGAATTTGCGAGTGTAATATATTGGCGAGTGTAAAATGGAAGTTGACAAAGCCACGAAGAAGAGAGAGCTTTGAGCTTTGATTGCTCTCTTCTTCGTGGGTCCTGTCCATGCAGGTTCTCTGTCACTCTTCCATTCTAAATTACTTCTTTATTTCTTTTTCCTTTTTTTCCCCTCTCTTCTTTTGAATATATTCTATTTTCAATACATATTATAAAATTCCATAATGTGTTAGCTTTTTTTATTAATATAAAAATTCTGAAAAGATTATCTTCTTGACTTGGATGAGGTAAACAAAAATACGAAGAAAAACTAATGATAAATTGAGCAAAAGTCATATATATATATATATATGTATGTGTATATATAATAGTTTATAAGTCTTTTTTGGATTATTGGGATGGGATAAATTGAACAAAACTACTTTTTTCTAACATATATGCCTCTTTTAATTAAATAGACAAATGCAAGAAAATTGTAAAGATGACTATAAAAGGGAATATATATATACATATATACATACATACATACACATATAGAGATAGATTGGTATATATGCATCTTGTGGTCCTTTTCTATATTGATATTCTTCCGTTATTATTATCTGGTTTGTGATTGGGTGCTTTTTTGTCATAAAAAAACCGACTTTCTAGTTAGATATATAAATTAAAGAAATGATTAGATACAAAGAATATATATATATATATATATGTATATATATATATATATATATATGAGAGAGGGAGAGATTAGGATAAATGCATCTTATAGTCTTTGTCTTTTAGAAATTGTTCGCATAAAGGTCTCTACTTTTATTAGAAGAAACAGAGCCCTCTTTTGTTTTGTCAATATAACGGGTGATTTAGGGTTTGATTCAACTCATATATACTAATATATTTATATTGACATGTATATATACACGCATATAATATACGTACATAATTTTAAATTTTAATTTATATCGAATGTAAATTAAATAACCTTTGATATAAATGTAATTAACTTTAAAGGTATGAACACACACACACATATACATACATATATATATAAAAAATATTTTCCTTAGCTTTTTATATTTCTTTTTTTTTACCTTTAGGGTTTCAATGGATTTGGTGACTGACTTTTGTTGCTTCTTTTTTTTTTCTCTTTTCTCCATGAAATATTTTTAAACCTTTTGAGTTTTGAGTATGTTTTACTTTTGGGCAGCGAAAATTCACTTTAAGAGAAGCAATCTCTTTGATTATTTGGGTTTTGTTTAATAATGTCTTTAATAAAGGAATCTTAATTAATTACACCAATAATAAAGAAAGCAACTCCTCTCTTTAATGTCTTGTAAGAGATCTAACACATGCTTTATTGATCTTGTAGAATATATTCTCCATTTATATCCGAACTTGTCGGACTTTTGCTTAATCCATAATTCAAATAATTTACATATTTTGGAATTCAGCATACATATCAATACCATGTCTTTTTATATTGTCCTTTTTCTTGTTTAAAAAAAATTAAGTATATTTTTTCGAATGAAGAAAGTTCGACTCAATTTTCCAAACGTGATTATATATATTTAATGTACACGTTTTTTAGTGCTAAATATGCTTTTATTCACCATATGACATATTTGGGAAACAAGCCTTAGGTTTATAAAATTCTTGATTTTATTGCTTCCAATATATATATATATATAATAAAGAACTATCCAATAACATATATAATATTAAAGTTTATAATAATAATGTTTCATTATTTGAGCGAGGAATCTTTTTCATGTTTATTTCAATTAGGAAAGAGAGATGCCCTTTTTTTTCTCTCTTTAAGGTGTATTGGAAGTCTCTTTCTGATTTGAAAATTCAAAAGTTTAACCCCAAAGAAAGCAGATAATCTAAAGCGAGAAAGGAAAAGAAATTTCGCTAATTAGCACAGTTGATTTCATGGTTGTACATATTATTCGATATGTATGTGTGTATGTGTGTATGTATGTATGTGTGTGTGTGTATGTATGTATGTGTGTATATGTATGTATGTGTATGTATGTATGTATGTATGTATGTGTGTGTATGTATGTGTGTGTGTATGTATGTATGTATGTATGTATGTATGTATGTATGTATGTATGTATGTATGTATGTATGTATGTATGTATGTATGTATGTATGTATGTATGTTTACTTTGAATTGTTGTTTGACATCTTTCCTCAAGTAATCCAAACATTATTTGCATGTTTACATTATATTTACCTTACGTACGTTTAAATTAGTTTGGACACTAAAATAAGAAAGCTCATGCAATAAAATCTATTTCATTTGAAAACTAGTTTTTAAAATATACGGCGTTCCAATTTTTAAATTTAGTTTTAAAATAATTTTCCTTTTAGGGAAAAAAATCTTATAAAATTTTCTAAAAAAACATTTTATTGATCTAAATGGTATAGTCTTTTTTTTCCACGAAAATAATAGATTAAATTAAAATATTGAACGACATTTATAGGCCCCCAACAATATAATAAGGTAAATAATTAAATGCGATAGATGCATTAAAGTACGCATTAACCAGAAAATAAATCTCTCATTTAAAGCAACAGTTTTTTAATTAAAGGAAACCTGTCACAATTAACAAATTAATTAATTTATGAAGACAGAATCTTAAATGTTTTCAACAAGTGACAATTAAAATTAAATATTCATGGCTTAGGGTTTCGAGACCTTATCTTTTCCGAAGTCATAAAGCCTTTTTGCCAACTCACTTTTGCTGTTTCTTTAAATCCAAACCGCATTTTCTTTTTTTACTTTACCCATTATTTTTAAATATTTTCTTAAAAATGGACATTATCAAAAATACTTTTATTTTGCTATTTTGACTTCAACATATACTCTTTTCCGACTCAAACCATATAATTCGAAATATAGTGTGGTCACATATTATTTTCAATATCCATAACGTTAAATTTATGATGTTTTAATCAAATAATTAGTAAGATATACAAGATATGAATATAATAAATTAGTTTGATCACCATAAATTTAAATTTATAATCAATAAAATCAAAATGTGTCCACACTATATTTTGGGTCACATGAATTAGTTTGATCACATGGTCACAGTTGGAAAAGGATATGTGTTGAAGTAAAAATAGTGTAAGAGTGTTTTTTATATAATGCCGGTTAAAGAAATGACAACTAATGGTTTCGGTTATTTTCTGGTTTAGAAGTTTTATTTTTTAAAAATTTGTATCAATTCCTTAGATTCAGTTAAAAGTATTCATTTCTAAAAAAAAAATATTCAATTTTATTCGATTTTTTTGGAATTTTTATATTGTTTTCGGTTTAAATATAATTATCTTATTCAATTTGGATCGACGATTATTTTTATTCACCATTCGAATTTGATTCAAATCTAAAATTTACAATTTTGAAAAATTTGTACAAATTCGGGTTGGATACAATTTGTGTGTTTTTTTCACATTAGCAATAAGACAGCTGACACAAAATACTTTTTTTTCTCCTTCTGAAGAATCTTAAATCTGAGGGGACAAAAATATAAAGAGACAGAACAAAAACATGTCTGAAGAATTGGAGATTAAGTTAATTAATCCTCGGAGATTCCAAAATACGAAAGCTTATTAAATTTACTAATTTATTATTGAATAAATGGATCATGAACTAATAATCAATACATTATACGACACAATGCTTGCAAGCAAAAGATTATCCCTTTTGATGTCTCCGCAAGCTTCGCTGATTCTTCTGTCTTGCAATGCCAACATGTCCTCGTAGAGACCCCTCGCGAGAAAGACGAAACAAAGCGTAGATTACAAGGAAGGAAGATATCGAGTTCGGGTTCGGGTTCGGATTCGGGCTTGGGCGACATGTTGTTTCGAAGGGTTCGAACTAGTTTTTAAGCATCGCTCCATGTATCGCTTCCATCTTCATCTTCGCTTGCGACAGCCTAGCAAAAAAAAAAAAGGCGATAACTTCAGCGTCGGATATGGAAATGTATTAGGGTCGAGCACAGGTCGGATATCCGAGTTTTTTGAGATATCCGGCCTCGCTCTCCTCCCCACTGGGTTTCATGACCGAAGTATCTCGGTTTTGGCTTTGCGAGACTCTGAGTACCCCATGACTTGGATAGGGGTGCAAAACGGACTGACTCAATCCAGATCGACCCGAGCCAGCTCGTTTTTTGCCCAACTAGACTACGACCCATTTTTCACAAGCTAGATATATCCGATTCGACTTAAATCGTCTCGACTCTAGGGCAGTTGGCGAGCCAAATAAAAATATTAAAAAAATAAAAAAAATAAAATAGTTGAAAAAACGAAAAAAAAAAATATGGCTCACGAGACAATTCGTGGGTTCGTCGAGTTGTCTCGCGACGAGGTGGCTCACTTGACCCGTTTCCCGAACTCAAATATTTTGAGTCCAACTTGATAAAATATCGTAGTTCGCATCGACTTTTCTTTTGGACCCTAAAGTACCCGAACCCACGGAAAACTTGCAAATTCTATTGACCCGAGTTGATATCGTCAAGGATATAAGTGTAATTTTATAC